ATATTTTCTAATTAAATAGTCATTCTTTAATGAGCAAAAATATATGCAGACTGTATAAAAACAATTCACAAGTTAAAATACAAATGCATCTATATTAAACTGAATAAATGTCTAAACAGTCGTTTTTAAATATGTGGCTAAAAATCACTGAGTATCATTTATGCAAATACATTAATACCATTATTGACTATTCTGATTTACATGTTTCAGATTAACTATGGTCAAAGGATCTGGTATTCACCATTGTCAGCACTGTATAAACTGTAAATAAAGCTTAACTAGAATTTCGTAAACTAGCATATTCCTGTTTTCCCTGACACCAGGTTTTTATCCAGAGTTTCAGGTTTCCAGAATTGACCACCAGGAAGATTCAATGTATCTGTCTGAAAAAGTCACGGGCATGACTTAACATATATGAACTAATTAAAATAACATGAAGTCATTCATAAGTTGTTAACATGAAACAGCCAACGCAGAAAGTCATCAGATGGCTATAAATGACATGGCCGTAAACAGATTTGCATTCTCAGTTAAAAACTGCACTCCTGCCCCTTGTGGCTCCCCCATACTGCTTCTAAGACCCTGGAAAGACACATGGTGCATTTCTGTTTTTGTCTTTGACCTAAGTCCGGAAAAGTAGTTCCTCTTTGTAGCAACTCAATCATTCACCATCTGCTGTCACCACCTGAGAGAAATTCCATAGTTTATAAAGTGGCATATTGTATGCCTACATTAGCACTACATTAACGGTGTAGGACTAAGATTTGAGCTGCACTAATAAACAACTATCAGCCCAGGTTTCTCTTGACTTTGGTTCCCTAACCTGTTCATATGCCTTTCACACTCGGCTGCTGTCCTCAAACACCTTGTGTAGCGTTAGCGGTTTTCATGAACATGAAAATGGTTCCTTTCATTGATAACTGAAGTGGTTTCTTGATGAATTAAAACCAATATATTCAAATAGAATTTTCCATATTAAGCCTACATTCACATGGTTTTTACATAAATCTGAGCAGAAATATTGTCTTTTATATTTCATTGTCATTTCCTATCGTTTATTCTTTCATTGTCTTCTGCATCTTACAAATGGTAATGTTAAGATATCATTTTTGTTGTTGTACATTAAGCAAATGACATAAAACAGTTACTTTGACTAAGATGATCTAAAACAATAAGTTATTCACACGATTTGTTTCATATTGTTTGATAGGATTTCAGTGTTAAAAATTGCAGAACTTATTAAGTCAATTATGTATAGTTCCTCAAGAGTCACGTAATTCAAAAGTATGGATGAGAGGATTCTTAGATTGTTTATAAAATAAGAAACAAGGCCTCATAGGCAGCTCATAATTGGAAAGTCATAGTGAGTAGCAAAATGTACCTTTTAATACAATAAAACAATACAACCCGAAGCCCTGATCTTAACCACAAGCACTCAACTCTATATGGGCACAAAAGTTCTGCTTCATTATACTTGGTCTTCACCAAATATAACTGGAAGCTTGCTGAACTATAGTCATGTCAAATAAGAGGATAGAAAAAAATACTATTAAAATGCACATTTATAAGTAACTACTATCCCAATGCTTCTTACATAACATCCCTTCCATAGCGACTGATTCTTAAGTTTTTAGTATGTTTGTTTGTACTTTATTCCAGTCATTTGAAACACAATTTCCATTAAATGTATTACTTCTGAGAGTGTATAATTACACAGTAATAGGTCTTTTAAGCTTCAATTACCAAAAACGTCTTAGCTTTAAAGAGAATAATGAGCATTCTGTGTAATAATACGTATTAGCACAGATGACTAATACATTTGTATATTTAAAGAATCTTAATAGTAGTACATATATCCATAGTTTCCTATGATGCTTCAGCCACTATAGTACTGAAGTTGAAACATCGACATGGAGGCATGTATTTCACACAGTGAATTATTTTGCTTAAAGAAAAGAGAAAAAAAAAAAATGCAAGAGCAAAGATAATTTCTTAGAGCAGTATGTGAGCAGCACCTATTTAAGAAGATACGAATAACTTTTTTGTTTAATGAAGTATTTAATTAACCTATACATGCGTATAACCAAATGCAATTTTTAAAATATTGTTACTGATATATCTGCTTTGCTAATGCACAAATTACAGCAGATTACAACACTAGTCAAATCTTGTCCATGGAGGCCTGCTTTATCCATCCAAAGTACATAAACACATACACACACAAATGCAATGGACTCACATAAACACACGCAAACATTCAAATAGTCAAGAAGACACACATACACACACAGCTAGTATTTGTTTTTAACCAGTTAAAGAGGCGTGTGAACATTTTTCAAAATCCACTTAGGACATCTCCGCCATGAAATACTCTTTTAAGTAACTGTAATATTTTTTTTAATAAACAAACATTTGGCTATGTAGAGGACAGTTAATGGGCTAAAGCAGTGATTTTCAACCTTTTTCAGCTCATGGCACACATACACTAATTATTAAAATTCTGCGGCATGCCCCAAAATATATTTTTTGCCAATTTAATAAAACAATAGGTATAATTTTGATCATTCACACCACACAGCTACTGTGTTGGCTGTTGCGCTTTTTTTATTTGACAGTCTAGGGGAAGTGAGGTCAGAGCCCCTGACTAGTCGGGTGTTGCATGTTTTAAAGATTCTTGTGGTGCGCTGGGTGAAAATCACTGGGCTGAAACCCATGTGTGTGTTTGCACATTTGTGCATGTGTGTGACGCATGCATGTGTCTGTGTGCAATACTAAACAAGGTAATTGGAACACAGTCTTCTTGTTTCCTTCCTCTAGGGAGATGCATATTTAAAGTGAGAAATATTTTTCTTTCAAATATAAAACAACCATGATTGCTGGGAAAATAGAAGAAAATGAGCAACACTAACATCAAATAATGAGTTGCCTGGAGATTTTCTATCGCTACAAAGGTAATCATATTATAATATATAAATTATCAAATTAATGTCAAAACCTTAAATTTGCACAATGTTATAAGTTAAATATATTATAATAAAACAAATAATTCAACTAATTCCAAACCCTCTTACCAGAGCAATGATGGTTACACATATGTATGAATATTTTTGTCCCAGAAATTTGATTTCCAGGTTAATAAATATTTTATTTATAAATGTTTAGTAATATTGTGGTACTAAAAAGCTTGCACATCTAATATTCATTTTAGGTAACATTATATTATTTATTTTTTATCTCCCAATTTCTAGTTTTTACTTTATTTAATTTATATGATAACTTATTCTATAATTAAAATGCATATAATATGTGGATGTATATGTGTGTATACTCTTCATTTGCATATCTATATCCATATACATGCTTCATTGTTTCATTGATGAGTTATGAGAATTAAGGGGTTAGCAGTATGCCGGAGATCTGTTCTTGACCAGTGTACTTCTGTGTTGGAGCATGACAAGGAAAGAAAGAGGGCAAGTAACCTAGTCAAATCTTCTTGTAAACATGACAATGACAATGCTCCCAGCAATCTAATGTCATTAACCACCGGGAGAGTGCTTGTCTGTAACACCTTTTCAGTTAGATGCACCGCATTGTCTAAGATAATTGTAAACAAACCTGGAGTCTATGGACTTGTGGTGCAGGGCTCCTGGAAAAATGTTCTGTATGCTATGTATATGAATGTAAGGGGACACTGTGACAAAGCATGGCTCTCTGCACTATTTGTATGGCAGTGTCCTTTGCACAAAGACCTCCCTCGTTAACCTTTTCAGAATGCATCTAATGTGACCAGAGAAGACTTAGGGAACTGCTGGGACACCTTGGATCTCTCTCTCTGCTTCATCCAAATCTCAGGATTTATGTGTATCTTTGAAATTATTAGTAAACTTGAGACTTGTTTCATACTGAACAGTTGGCTACATTAAAAATGGGTTTTATATTTAGCCAAGTTTTTCTTAACAAATTGTCAATGGGGCCAGAGCTCTTTGTGGTTTTTAGATTATGCTGCTGTAACATAACCCTATAATGCATTATTGAGTATCCTTTATTCCCATTTGGCATCACATCCTGTGATATGATAGCATATGATTGTTTTGGCCAGAAAAAATAGAGAGGAAAGACAGTAGAATTTATAATGTACTGAAAAAAATGGTTAAATGCCTTTGGGGTTATTCTCAGTTAATTTCTCATAATTAATACAATATTTAAGGCCTGAAATTTTTTTCTCATTAGGAAAAAAAATGTCTGTGCAAGACATAACAATTCTCCAATGTAATATAACAACTTGTGTGATAATCAAACTCAAATAAAATATAAAATAACCTAAGCATATCATTTACCCACTTTTACAAAGAATTAAACTAATGTGTAAACAAAACAAATAATACACTTGAAAATCTCATTTTACGTAATAATCCATTTTTATCTTAAGCAGAGTACTTCACTTCAAGTGCTCCTGTTACAGAAAGGTGCTAATGTAAGGAGCTTTTTACTGGCATAGGTATAAATACTGGATATCAAAATACTGAGGAAAGCACTTAATTTATCTTCAATTTTTCAATCACAATGTTTTAGAAAAGTGGGGGCATTTTCATATGTGCTAAAATAACAATGACAGATATAGAAGACTACACAAAAATACAGCTGACCCTTGAACAATGCAGGGGAGGGATTAGAGGTGCTGACCTCCCCCCACACACAGGCACAGGAAATAAAAAATCAGTGATAACTTTTAACTCCCGAAAAACTTAAGTACTAATAGTCTACAGTTGACTGGAAACCTTACTAATAATATAAACAGTTGATTAGCAGATATTTTGTGTGTTGTAAGTATTATATACTGTATTCTTACATAAAGTATGCTAAAGACAAGAAAATGTTACTAAGAAATTAAATACATTTACAGTGCTGTGTAGTTCCAATCCATGTTGTTCAACTGTAAAAACATTGCTTTCTTTTATCGTACATGCACCTGCACACAAATTATACATAAGTGCACTAACCTGTTTTAGGATCTACGGAGAAGTAGGGTTGTCCCTGTAGAATACTGTAAACCACCCGAGCGCTGTTCCCATAGGTAGGATCATCTGCATCAGTGGCTGTCACCTGTAGAACAGAGGTACCTGTGAATTCAGGAAGATAAATTTTAGTGTATTATGGAATTTAGCACATGAGTAATTTGTACACAGAAAAGAGTTATGCTGAAATATCTATGGAGAGCTATAATGGATGTGTCTCAGTAAATTTAATTTTTAGATTTATCTGTCAAACATATCCCTTGCTTGCTTTCCCTGCTCTCAACTGTATTAAATGAGAGTTCAAAATATAATACTTGATCTAAGATATTTTGATACGACCCTCTGTGCTGATGACACTCACATAATCAAGTTTGGGTTGGATTGATGTTGAAGGTTCAAATCGGCATTAACTGTGGGGCAAAGTCAAAGTTGTGATGAGGGTGTACATTGCATGCTACATGATTATACAGAAAATGAGTGATGGAATGGTTTGTGATTAGTTGGGAAAGCGAGTGAGTTGACATTACATACTAATGCCATCAAATCAGCCCATTCAAGTCACTTCCATCATTTATGAGCTTTTTATTTCTTACAAGGACAATTAATGAGATTCCTAACTGGTTCCCAAGGTTCAGTTAACATTCCTTTAGTCTTTTCTACAGAGTACCAATATAATTATCTTTCCACAATGGGTATCAGAATATTCCTATCACACTAAAATTTACATATATATATGTATATATATGTGTGTGTGTGTATATACATATATACATAATTTATCTTTATTTTTGAAAGTATTACAGATGTTCCGTTTTTCCCTGATTGACCCCCTCCACCACCACCCCCAGGCCTATAGCACTATTGTCTGTGTCCATGGGCTATGCATATATGCATATAAGCTCTTTGGTTAATCTATTTTAAAGTAATTTATAAACTTTAAAATATTATATTTGTGGTACTAAATTTTGTGGGTTTATTATGCTAGTTTCTTTATGTTTACACCTTTTAAACATTATTTGAATGGTCAGACAAATATATCTAATATTTCAGTTATTCCCAAATAAAACTGATCCAAGTGAAACATGACAACTATCAAGGGCTATACAACTTCACTGTAGAATTAGTGGTTAAGAGCTCTCATTTATTCATAACATGTGCTTGACGAGTCATCCACGAGTGCATACTTGATATTTAATTTGCCTCACTAGAAAATTGTACCTACTAATCCAGGATATATATCAAACAAAAATATTTCCACAATCAAGTGAGCCTCAATAATATTCTGCATTAATTTCAGTAATAAAAATGAATTACTGATATTTTAATTCAGTGAAAATACTGAAAATTATCAGTCTTTACTTTTAGAAATTACTTCAAATATGTAGGTATGACATACCTATTACGAGTCTAATATCTGTACAACTATAAGTTTTTACTTCAATGTTGAAATTCAGACAGAACTTTAAACAACGCTTGTCCTTTGCCTACAAGGGATCCTAAAGAACTTAAAAAAATTAGTATGCAAAGTGCACTTGAAAATTCTTATTAGCAGATCAAAAATGTATATGACTTTTAATAGTACACTATGATTCTGGGCTAAATAGTATTGTTACACTGAGATTCTAAGCAGAAATATAATTAGTAATTATGCATACCCAGAAAAGGAAGACTGACTATATTATATCTAAAAGAAGTATCTTATTATGGGTAATAAAATACAATAGCAACACCAAATACTGGCAAGAATGCTGAGAAACTAGGTCACTCATACACTGTTGGTGGAAATGTAAATTGAGCAGATTCTTATAAAACCAAATATACATCTACCATATGACCCAGCAAGTTGTACTCTTGGGCATTCATATTAAAGTAATAAAAATATATATTCATATAAAAACCTGTTTAGAAATATTCATAGTAACATTATTCATAGTAGACCCCAAATGAAAATAATCCTGATATCCTACAATGGGAAAATGATTAAACAAACTGTGGTATATTCATGCTATAAAACACCACCCAGCAATAAAAATAAGCAGTCCACTGATATTTGTGACAACTTAAATGAATCATCAGGGAATTATACCTAGTGAAAAAGCCAATTCTAAAAGGAGATTTTTATATATATATAATTTTATTTATTTAAGATTCTTGAAATGATGAAGTTTTAGAAATAGATAACAGATTAGTAGTTACCAGGCATTAGAGGGGAGAAAGTACAGGGAGGTGGGTTTGGCTTTAAAGGGCAACATGAGGTATCCTCGTGATGTTGGAACTCTTCAGGATTTTGATTAAATTAGATATAACTAAAACACACATACATGCACAAGTAAAACTAGGAAAATCTAAATAAAAGTGGTAAATTAAATCCCTTCAATAACCTGATTATGATATTGTTACAGTTGTAATTAGCTAGTTATTAATATTAATAATGGGAAAGGAGCAAAGGGAAGGCCAGATATTATAAGCATGGCCATCTGGGCAGCTTCACCAGGAAGCTGTAACTGTACACTCCCCAGGGAACCACCAGTCCATTCCCTGCAGATCACTGAGGGAAGGGTTCCAACAAAGGGGAAGATGCATGCATGTGCAATAGAGTTGGGGTGACACAGGGAAGGTGCTTGCCTGTCAGTCTAACCTGGGAATAAAGATATTCTCAGGCTAAAAGGGTGGGGCAAAATCTTAGAAGGTTAAAATCCACAGACAAAGAATAATCTCTCTCTTGTTCCTCTTGCTTCCCTCCTGCTTCCTTGCAGTGGCCCATGTGCTAGCCCACCATGTGGCCCTGGAAGCCTCATCGCTCATGGCCATGGGGACCCCACACGCAATGAACTGCAGTAACCTTGCCAAATGATGGAAAGGACTGTGCAAATATGGAATGGAGGTTTTGGGCAGTGGGTTTGATCTTAGCTCTGCTGAAGACACAGCTGGACTTTTTCCTTGGTGGGATGGCGGGAGATGGGGCCTTGGAAACTCAGGGGTTTAATTCCACAGAAATAAAACTTTCCAGGATACTTCATCTTCCTGTGGGGGCCTCTAGAAATTCTTATTCCAACAGCACCCCAAGAAGCCCACTTCTACCTGCAACTGGTGCAGAAGCAGGGGACACCCCACTAATAACAATATCATTTTATAGTTTTGTAATATGTTACCATTGGGAAAAATTGAGTAAAGGATATAGATATAAGGAATCTCTCCATATCATTTCTCATGACTGCATGTGAATCTATGATCTCAAAATTAAAAATTTTAAAAAGAAGTATTTTTGCCTCAGTGCTAGTCCATTCTAAGAAAGCCCTGTTTGTGTGTGTCATGGATTTTCAGATTCTAGCACTACATGTTCTGGCTTTATTATACTTTCCAGAGCTAATCATATAGAAACTAGCTCTTCCACTACTAAGTGTAATTACTACTCTTATATAATATAAATGACATTTGCTGCATACCCAGAATTCATTTCTCCAACTTGTTCAGAGAAACCCAGTAGGTAGATATTTACAGAGAAATGTTGATTTAGGAGACATTTTCATTGGTACCTCATTGAAAATAATTAAAATCTGTAGTAATTTCCCTGGTCAGGCTATAAAAGTGGATAAAATGTGATAAAATTATGCCATTCAAATCTTTGATCTGGTGGGGAAAATGCTGATAATACCTGGAGTACAGGGATGACTAGGGTTCAAAAGGGAGAAAACAGTATAGAATGTTGTAAAATAATGGCAATTAAGAAACCACACTTATAAAATCCCAAGTTTTTGAAACTGCTCTGGTCTTGCAATGGTGATTTAAGTTGAAATCATTTTTATTGGTATAAAATAGCCCCCAAGCAACCATTCTGTGGAGAAAGCTGAAAAAAACAAATAATGGAAGATCACACCTCATTTATGGTGATGGGCTGATCACCACCTGAAAGAGAAAGAGAGCTCTGCTTGGCTTGAGGTGTCTATAAAATCCAGCCTTGTTAAGCGAAAGCTGAGAAGCATGAGTGAAGTGACAAATGAAATAAAGAACATAGGAAAGGAGATAGAAAAGAAAGAAAGCTAGACTGGAGGTACTGACTAAGTGATGGTTTAAAGTAGAAGAGGGGAGTAAACAGCAGAAAAGGGTTTTAGGGGAAGAAAAGAACATCTAGTAATCCTCTACCTGGGTCAAAAACTACAGTCCTCAACACATCTCTGTGCTGTAGGTCTCACAGGTATTGGGCAGTTCTATTTGTGTGTGAAACAAGAAACAGTAAATTACCTCTCATTGTACTTTGGTGGCATCTGAAGGTATCAAGCTGCCACATTGAGTACATAGATAGCGGGTTGAAGGGAGAATAGGTATATGCTCAGCACAGCCCAAGGAAAAGTCAACCTGCCCCAGGAGATGGCAGCAGGAGAGATAAATGGCAGAGATAAAAAATAAATCCCTTGCTCAACTGTTCAAGGATTTCTTACCAAGGAGAATTAATAAGGAAGTTTCAGGCCAAAAGAAAATCATCTACACTCTAATTAATTTAAAGTTCAGCTGGGAAAATTATAAGAACAACTGGTGCTTTCAGAAGTGTTTTTACATTAGAAAAAAAAGACTTCCTTTTTCATAAAAAATATGTTATCAAAAAATAAGAACTCCTGAAGGTATGTGTTATGAATTTATTTCCCCTGAAAATTTACATGTTCAATTCTAAATTCCAGTACTTCAAAGGGTGACCTTATTTGGAAATAGGGTCATTGTAGATGTAATTAATTTAGATGAGATCATTCTGGAGTAGAAGGGGCCCTTAATCCAATAGGACCTGTGTCCTTATGAAAATGAGAACTTTGAAGACAGACAGACAGACAGACACACACACACACACACACACACACACACACACGGTGAAGCTTATGTGAAGATGAGGGCAGAGATTGGGGTGATACTTTCACAAGCCAAGGAAACCACCAGAAGCTAGAGGGGAGCCTTGGAACATATCCTTCCCCAGTGATCTAGGAGGGAGCTGGCCTGCTGTCACCTTGACCTCAGACTTCTAGCTTCAGGAACAGTGAGACGATCCAGTTCTGTTGCTTAAGCCACCCAGTGCGTAGTCCTCTGGTACGGCAGCCTAGCAAACTCATCCAGTGTGT